ATGAATAGAGTAAAATTGATGTGAAGAGTCCAATGTTTACAGCAAATTGACCCTGATATGTACTTCTTTAGTGTCAACATACCATTGACTACTGCACTGTAATAATAAGCTTGTGCTATATTTTCTCATAGTGTTAGGTGAAATAGATATTAATTGATCAATCAACAGTAAAAACGAGTCATATGTATTGGGGGGAGGGGGGTGAATTATCCGCAAGGTTTTGGCCTACTAGCTAGAGTCTTGCGTACATTCCAGTTAATGAACAAGTATTGATGTACATCCAGCCAGGGAAATAGAAATTAAAATGGGGAGTTTGAACAAGATGCCTAATTAATTAACTCCAGGGGGGGGGGCTTAAAGAAAACTTTTTCGACTCGTGAATCAGTGCTTGATAATAATTGAATGCAATACCATTTATAATTTTCTTCAATTGATTTCAGGATGCGGCAGCATATCATCAATTTCACATAAACGAACTCGAAAATAAATATTTTCGTGACAGTTCCAAGAAACGCAAGACATGTACACACAAACACATTGTTCATTGTTGGGTAGATGTTCCACATATGAATACGACTAATTGTAGTAACCAGAGAAAAAGAATCTTTAATCGTATGCAGCAAAACAAGGACAATACTCGCAACATTGGTATTATTTACGATTCGATACCTGAGTCATTTGGTCTTCTTACCCCAACTGCAATCCCGGCGTTCTTTTTAAATGTATAGAACTGACAGAATATTCACGATATTTATGGACGTACTACCTTCAAGGGAGAAGTTTTATCTGGTAATTGCATTTGCAATTTTAAAAATACAAGCTATGATGACTATTCGTTCCTTCAAATTGCATCTAAAATGAATAAATTTTCCACGACCCTAATGCAAGTCCATACGACAATCCAACGCATTAGAGGCGGTGTTCACCGTCTACGACCCATCATGAGTTTGGAAATTATTTATTAGGTTTGTGCGAGCATGAGAAAAATATCATTAGCCTCTATTACATTAAAAGCTGTTCTTCATATATTATATTTTTATTAGAAACATAATAATGTATTTGGATATTTATGTTAAATTAATGTTCCTATAATATGCACAGTCTTGTCTGAATAATTGTTTGTCTTTGGTACGGTAATTGGATTCAATTTATTAGAAGACCAGCACTCACATCACAAATTATTCCTATGGTTTCATTTACCAGGTAGTGTATTTAAGACACAGCCGAAGACAAAAAATTCAGAAAAATAAATTTCAATTAGTTTTGATATCATTTTAGATGAGACTTATTTTTCTCATTCGTCGATCTAATAGTAAATGAAGTTTTCGCGCGAAAAGTGCCCTGCTTTGACGTCATTGATTTTCACCGACCAATCAGCGCAGTGGTCAAATGAGTACACTTTGGACTTTGGGGAAAGGTGAATAGCTTTTACTCTTAGCGTTGTTGGACTTCAAACAAAAGTTAAGATTACCCGCAAATGATATACTCATTGCATGGAGTAAGAAATTTTCTTTGGTATAGCGAAACATATGAGTAAAAAAATAAATTGTGTGGGTTTCTTAGTGTTTCTATGCAAAATAGCACGCTCCGTCACAGCGGACAAAATTTTCGATACCAGCCTGTAAAAACTTTTCTTTCTGCATAATTTGGAAACAATATTTGAGGGAGGTATGAACAACAAAATATTATGACATCAAAGGAGCTTCTTCAATCAATAATAATATAGGCTAATGTTGAAATTGTATATTAAAAGTAAAATTAAAAGTAGATTTTAGAAAACAAATCAGAGATTTATTGGTCAACAATTTCCAGATTTCCCCTCCAGAAAGTCTTAGTCAGCGTATGCTTTTGAAACTCAAAACTGATCATATTCATAACCAAAACATTTAACAATCATTTGGATATCAAATATGAGTTGATGATATAACATTAAATTCTCATATGTACCAAAGGATGAGTCGTCCAGGGGATGAGCTTTCCAGGGAATGAGTTGTCTAGGGGATGAGCTTTCCAATAGATGAGTAGTCTAAGAAAATAGTCGCCCAGGGGATAAGTTGTCTAAGGGAGGAGTAGTCCAGGGGATGAGTTGTCTAGGGGATGAGGTCTCCAGGGGATGAGTTGTCTGGTTACCATTTCATGTATTAGACACTACCGATATGTGAAAACATTGGAGTAACTTTATAAGTAAACCTCATTTGTTTTCCCAAAGCAAACCTATAAATATGTTTTTCATCCTGAATGCCAAACATGTATTAGTTGAAGATATGATATATTCAAGAAAATGGCCACTTCAACATGTATCCTAAATGCCCCGACAGTTGTCAGATTTTCCTCTACAAGCAATTTTCCGGATAATTTGAAATTGATCTAGCATATGTTTTGCCTCGTGAAAACAAGATTTTACAGAAAAGATGTTAGGACAGAAAATCCGAAATTTCCGCTAAAATTAGCAGAACAGTTAGCAGACTAGCCAAGGAAGATTTGTTCAAGGCATTTTTAGGTTCGTGTAATTGGTCATTACTGGTTTAGTTCCCTTTCTCCTAGTCATGAAATTCATGTCAAACAACCAAAGATCATATATTATTTATGAATCACAATGAGCACGTAATTTTCTCAATATCATTTCAGACAAGACACAAATCTATAAAAATATACTTTATATTAAAAAATGTATTGCAAATATATTGAATATATGGCTAATGCGTAACATAAATTTCGAGTCTAACTGTACAAATCTTCTGAATTTACATATTTACAAGGACTGAAGGAGTATAGATATACAGTGTATTTACAATCTCTCAACATCAAAGTACCTCTGAATGTGTTTTGTTCTTACATACATGTATGTGTCAATCATGTTAAAATGAGGAGCACAGAATTAATATAAGAATACTAAAATATTAATGGAATACTTAAAACAAAATCTATCTGTTTTCTCCAGAAACCAGAAACACTGAATACAATTTTGAAACCACTGGCTCTGTTCCTCAATATTTGAAAATGTTGGCTCCTTCTTTCAAATATCTTTTTATAAAGGGAAAACATGTTTGACCCAAAATGTATATTGAATTTTGGGCCCAAAAGTATGCCTCCCAATGAGTGTCCCAGGACAGGCCTTCTATGCGTACTAGGCCCATGTGAATTAAAGGGGTGTTTGGATATACAGTTCATCTGTACGTGTATTTGTCCCTTACTGGCAAGAAATCAGACATGACCGGAGCTAGCTTTTGTCAAGGGATAGGTCACTTTTAAAAAAAATCAGGGGGGTCACATTTGACAACTTTGGCCAAATATAAATCAGAATGGTCGAGGGGGTTTACTTAAACTCACCGAACAACCCTGGCTATGGATTGGACCTGTATGATGATCTGTGATTATGAATGATGATCTGTGATTATGAATGATAATCTGTAATCATCATGCATAATCCACGATTGCAGTAATGTAGTATGTGCAACCCTGTCTATAGCCTAAAACAGGGTTGCTGCCTCTCCCCGACTCTGTTTTCCCTTGTTATGAGCGACCTTGTTGAAATGTTCAACAATGAAGATATAGGGTTACCTTTTGAAAATGAAAAGGTCCCAGTTCTTATGTTCGCCGATGATGTTGCTTTACTTGCCGAAAATGAATCTACAATGAACAGAATGTTAAAAATTGCTGACATCTTTTCTATTAAATGGGGGTTCAATTTTAGCCCTAAAAAATCAAAGGTTATGGTCATTGGGAAAAGAATTGACAAAAATAAAAAATGGATCTTAGGCAGCCATGAATTATTTGAGGTTAAAAGTTATAAGTATCTAGGGATATATTTTGATCGGTCTCTAAAAGACTCTGGCCACATTGACTTCCTTGCTGAAAAATCTAAACGAATTCAAGGTATGATAGTCTCCACTTTGACAAAACACTGTAATGTCATGCGTCTCAAATTTGGGGAGAAAATGTACAACTCAATGTTTGTCCCTGCCATTCTTCATGGCTGTCCTATATTCACGTTAAACAAAACTAACACGGATAAAATGAAATCAATGCAATATAATATTGGGAGATCAATTCTCCAAATTAGGTGTCGCCCAGCCAGAGAAGCACTTTTAGGTGATTTAGGCTGGAGACCTCTTGTTGATGTCATTGAAAAAAGGCAAATAGATTACTTTATATATCTAAAATGTAATATCAAAGAAGGGTCATTACACAAAAAGATATTTAATTCTATGTATGATGGCTTCTGTGCTAATGATGAAAGCAAAGCATTCCCTTACTTTTCAAACATAAAATCCATCCTAACAAAATATGGACTGGATGATGTTATCTACAGAGATGATATTGACTGGTATCAGGCCCTTATCAAAATATCAGATCAAGAAAGGCTTAATAATTTTGAATCTGCATTGAATGAAAAGTCTTCACTCTCACTGTATCGATGTCTAAATCCCCATCCCTTCTTAAAAAACTACCTGACCACAGATTTTGACTTCTATGGGCAAAAATTAAAGTTCAAAGCTAGATCAGGGTGTTTTGGCTTAAAAACAGAATACGAAAAATGGGGACAGGGAAATGGAATATGTACGTTATGTGATAAAAATGTAAAAGACACCATCCAACATAGACTTTTTGTTTGCCCTTTCTTTGGTAATGATAGAAATACTTTTTATAAAAATGTTATTGAAAAATGTAATCCAGCACTATCGTCGGGTCTTCTATCAGCCAGTGTGCAAATTAAAACATGTTGGGCCTTAGGTGAGGACATTTTTACATTGTGGGGACAAGAAGAAGCTTTTAAGTTCGATAAATGTGTAAAGGGTCTTTTAAAATGTGTATATAAACCCCAGACCCAATAACATGTTTTAGTTTCTTATATATAATGCCTGTAAACTGATATATGCTTTTAAATGTTTTGCCAATGTCTGGAAGAACCATTTGTGTTCCGCTGTAATAAAAGCGTTTCCAATAAATAAATAAAAAAAAATAGTACAGTTCTGTTACATATATTCAAGGACTAATCACTAAGTATTCTCATTAATGTCAGTTTGTTCAATTTTACGTTTCTTTGAATCTGGTTGGTTTGATTCAATTTCTCCGTCAGTTGCTTTTTTCTTCTTGTTTAGCCATCCCATCATGAAGTTCTTTGATGCATTATCTTTCGCTTGTTGTTTCCTAGAAGTAGATTAAAATACAATGTCAATGTGACACAGAGTCAATTTCATGCGATACAAAGTCAATTCCATGTAAAACAAATACATTAGCCCTATTGTATATTTTATTCTTATAAAGAATAATGTCCTATTGTTAAATTGGTGTTTCCGTGGCAATGATTGTAATTTCAGTTTAATTATACTGTACATCTATTTAATTTGATGCTACTTTTTTGGCTGATTTGATGTTTTGACCATTTGGCGTGATGTGCTGTTAACTAAACTAACATGGATACTATCCTATAAACACATTAATAAAATCATTTTTTCTTAGAAGAACTAAGTCTAAAATGTATGTCCTGTAAGTCTTGTGACCAAAAATTAATCCTCGGCCCCATTACATAATGCTTTATCTGATTGCATAATAAGGATCAGTTGAATTAGGATATTTAAGGGCATTTTCACCCATGTGCGAAGAAACAATGATTATTCAGTAGTCCATGATCGTATATGAACAAATGACATATCATTGGAAAGAGGAAACATGTGGCTTCACATGTGGCTGTTAATTAAACGAAATTGATGTAATTGTACAAGGTGAATGTTAGCATTAGGCCCAGGAATCCCCTCTCACTATACCCTATGCCCTATGCTTCTAGAGTTGTAAATGTGAATGTGGACAATATCCTTGAAATGGCTCCATAGATAAAAGTTTGGGGATTCAGATTTTTCTGCATTTGGAGGATGTTTTTTAAAATGGACATAACATTGTGACCATCAAAAGTAGACCAATGAAACTTGCAAGAATGAAAGAACATTGAACAAGATCTAATTGTGATCCATATTGGAAGACTGAGTTATAAACACTTGTTTGGGTTACCTTTTTTTGGCTCACCCTGTACATGGGGTGATCAATAAATTTTCCAAATGACTATCTGAGATAATATTTGAAGTTAGGTCATCTTTGGCGAGACTTGAATATTGTCTGAGACTCAGTGTCAGTTTGCAAAAGTTATTGACCACCCCGTGTATGGTCAGAGTACTCACTTTAAATCAAATGGTTTGATGCATTCAGGGTCATTGTTTCTTGAGTTGTTAACCATCGAGGAAACTGGATGGAACTGTAGTGTCTCTGTAGCTCTACACAGTTTAACTGCCTGAAATAGTATAATTGTTAAATAAATCAAATGGTTTGATGCATTCAGGGTCATTGTTTCTTGAGTTGTTAACCATGGAGGAAACTGGATGGAACTGTAGTGTCTCTGTAGCCCTGCACAGTTTAACTGCCTGAAATAGTATAATTGTTAATTAAATTGAATGGTTTGATGCATTCTGGGTCATTGTTTCTTGAGTTGTTAACCATCGAGGAAACTGGATGGAACTGTAGTGTCTCTGTAGCTCTACACAGTTTAACTGCTTGAAATAGTATAATTGTTAAATAAATCAAATAGTTTGATGCATTCAGGGTCATTGTTTCTGAATCTTAATGTATAATAAATATACATTATAATATTTAACATTTATATAGTTTGTATGAAAAAATATCATTGAAAACAATATTAATTTCATTTATGTTTTGTATAACGTTTCAATAGTTCAATATTAAAACATAACAGAGCCAAAAAGTATGAGAAACATGATGCAGTTGCATCTGACATCTACATGTATATGTGACTATACAACTATTCATAAACCATGATACGAAGCAAATGATGGATTATCTATCCTACCTTTGATAAGGGTACATCCCCAGTATCAAGCCAATCTTGCACCTCTTCGTCTGTAGCAAGTATGGCCTGCAACAGAAAATAATGATCATTATTCTATACAATTACTAGATTATTCAGATGTCTTCTGCATATACAATGTGGATATGAAAAACAATGATTTTGTTATGTTTTACCCCTTTCATTTAACAAAATTCTAAAATGTTGATTTGTCTTTAGCTTGAATATTGAAACAAATAGTACTGAGTACACACTATTTTCTAATGAAACCATAATTAAACCCCATCCCTCTTACGAAAGATATTTTGTTATCTTACAACTGTTAATGAATGGACACAATCCGCATTGCTAAATCATTCTAAATAAAAACTGAATCAGATTGCTTCAACCCTTTGTTACAGTCCATCTTTGTTTACCTCTTCAAATTAGAAATCAGATTCTACATTTAGAATATTACCCTCTAACTTACCAATCATAACTAGATCTGAATTTGAAATTACAGATCAATTGAATTAAGCTAATTAGAGAGCTCCAAAAAATCACATTTAAATTTTTCCACACATAACAGCTTTGACTTTTTATATGAGAATATTCACGTGGAACAACAACAGGTTCTGATTGGCAAAACTAGTTGCTGCTTATCATTGATGTAATGAGAGTGTAACAGTTGCAATAATTTTTTCAAGGGTAGAACTTACTGGCATTCTATGGTGAATTTTCTGCATTGATGGTGAAGATTCTACTGTAATCACAGAGTAGCTGAACAGTGGTTCACCACCCTAGAAAATAAAATACTCATGGTTCACAACTAAGAATGAAAAAACAAGATTGCCCAAGTAAACACATTGGCATAGACTAAGTCAATGACTCAGATGCGAGAAGGCAGTTACCAGTTTCACCACCAGGTGGCTTATTTTGGTCAGGTTTAATAGTTTAACTTTAGTTTCCTTTAATATGAATTTTGATCAGTTTTAGAGGTTTAATTTTCAACACACCCTTGTGTATCTAATAGTAATTCAAATTAAAATATGTCCAGTATGAGAAAATATAATATAATCTGGCCGATACAAGAAGATATTTACTTTTTGTGATTTCATAACATGGGGTCTATGGGGAATCTCCCTGACCTAGAAGTCAAATTTAAAAAAATTAAATTCTCAAAGTTGATGAACAATTTTTAAAACCATACTTTTTGATGTAGTTTTATATATAGATTTCGAAGACATCGCTTTGACTGAATTTTGAATATTTAATGATGCAAAATAAGTTTATTTTTTTATTTTCACTCGCATCTAGTCTTTAGGCGAACTTTTTTCGATTCTCTTGCCAAGAGTGAAAGCAATTTCCACTGGCAGTGAGGCAGCTGTGAGGGCAATTCAATGAAAACTTCAAGCATATTAATTGGGCTATTTGACATTGCCTGTATTTTTAACAATTACAGCAAGATGCATTGTTATTACAAAATTCACGCTATTCTAGTACATATATAAAGGTAAAAAACAAGGAAAATGCTGAGAAATATAGCACTTTCACTATGAAATAATAAATATTCCAGGTAAACTTTGCCATGAAATAAAATTGAACTCATACCCCTTTTGGAGTCCATTTCTCAAATACGCCAGCCATGCACAGTAACTTTTCTCCTTCCATACTATCTGCAATTGAACAAATTGATTCATTACTCATACAGGTAACGTTAAAACCATAACTGTTCAAAACCATATGTTACTTTATTCAAACAAACCTTATATGCAACATTATCACATGTATCAAGGCCTAAGCAAAAGCATTATTGGCCTTTTCATCAACTCTCAAAAGTATAAGCGAATGTGAGGTCTCATCTAAAATTTTAAGGGAAAAACTGATTGTTCACAAATGGATCTACAAATTATATTTTTAAAATATTATTATTCAAATTATTTGAAAATGCAAAAATATGAAAAACTTGTTGTTTATATGTCCAAATGGTTCTATATTCTACCTTCTTTAGCTTTTTTCGTGGTATCAATGTCCTTGTTGTTTTTTTCTTTATTTTGGTCTCCTGTTCTCAGAGTGTAAATGTAAAATGGTTGTTTCTTGCCAGATATTTTGTCAGTTTGCCATTCAAAGTAACTGAAATCCAACAATATACAGGGTGATCACTAAGTTCTGGGAATTTATCTGTCATTTCATTATTTTTCAACCAATTTACTTGAAATTTTCAAGGTAAATGGGGATTATGTTTTTGGGTTAGATCAAACAGTCTCATTGTCATCTGATGTCACAATGGATAATTATTGTTACTATAGCAACATGACAAATGGCGTAGCGGGTCAAGTAAAATAAAAATGAATTCAAATTTTGCTTGATCCAAAGGTAAAGTTAATAAATACCTATTTGGTGGACATATTTCTGTGATTTTTTATATTTTCAAATACTTCTATCTTTAGTTTCTAAAGTAACATCTGTATTGTTATATAAGAGTGTACTTTGCTCTATTTTCGTATCTTTCATCAGCATCTCAAAGTCACAATCTTGACTAAAAATAGCGGGGAGTTATCTTCCATTTTGTCTATGCTCCTTCCCATTACTCGAGCTGCCCATACTACTCTTGAAGAATTGGGGTTCACACAAGTTATTACTGCCCCATATTCATCAGGCAATATTCCCCAGATGAAGCACCATTAGGCTTCACTACATTTTGGGGTGCTAAAGCATCATATGAGAGGTCATAAGTTTGATTCCAATAAGGGACTGATTTCAACGACTTGAGCAAAACTTCAAGGGATACCAAAGGGAGGACTGGAACACATCTTTATGAACTAAGTTTGTCAACAACGCATGTGTGTCCAGGCTAATGGAAACAATCATAAATGAAATGATCCTCTCGGCAATGAAGAATACTTCTGAATAAATGACTTCAAGAGTACTGTTCTGTCTCTAGTACAAGTAGTTTGAAGCAACCATCTAGGCAAGATGAATATGTTTTGGCAGGAAATTTTCAAATTAACATCAGTCAAAATTTTCTGACCCGCGAACCACTTTCACTTTTTTTGTAATTGCAATAAAATAAATTGTAGATGTGATATGTTTATGAAACATTGCTTGTCAATTCAGAATTATACAATGTACATCTGCTGAAAATTTCAACTCAAATGGTTGAGAAATCTTGAAATGGCAGACCAATTCCCAGAACTTAATGATCACCCTGTATATGCATGAACCAATATAAACACTTCCATCGAGTTTTTCATGAAATTAATTTTTAGTCTCATGTTATGTTACATATTTACTTTCAAATATCGTTGAAAACTCCGAATAAAGATTATTTATTCTTACATCAATCATGGGCTTTAAATTAGTTGAGAGTCCATGCATCAATCCATGTTAAAAGAATGCATTAATCATGACAAACAGTTACAAAAGTGTAACCCTTTGTTACATAGATCTACCACAGATGCCAACTATTTTATGAAAAAGTGAGCTAATAATTCTTAGTCAAAAATGTTTCCAACAAATACGAATAATATTGATGTAAAAAATGGCTACCCATTGGCTAAAACAACACAGCGCTGTCCCTTTTGGAGCGGGATCTTGAAGCTTCTTTTTTCCAACATACTCTCAGATCTGCAGTTGCTCATACTGTAACCTGCAGATTTGGGGTCACTAGACCAAGGAGGTATTAAACCCCAGTGCATTGGTTGGATAAGTCGTTCACTTTCACATTTCTCCCCTTCGTAGACTGAATCAAAGTGTTGACTAGAAATCAAAACAGGCCTGAAAATAAATATTAGCCATCAATTGGTGGTGTATGAAGAAAAAATGCAAACATATAAAGTCAGGCATATGGACAATAATGCTCAATAACAAGCACAATTATATCATGTCAAGCATATAAGGTGAGTACAGTTAATGTCAAGGCAAGTGCAGTTAAAGCATACAGATACGGTTTAATAATCAGTGATTTTAATGATCAAATATTATTTCTTTTTGAATTTGTCCGATATCTGCTAATATGGTATGTATATGATCTGTATGCAGTATGCATTTGATTTTAAAATTGAAAGGAACCTTCCTCTGTACCCCCCTAGGAAGTCCATTTATTTTGAAATACCCTGGGGCACCTGTCAGGCTACCGCGTTGACATCACCCCTCTTTACCAGTAGTGCAGGCTTGTTGCTGTGCACTGGGAACCTTTTATATTAAAAACACACCTATTTAATTGCAGTTATTGACATAGGCATAGTATGATGATTTAAAACTACTAAGACTGTCACAGTCTAAGATGTCACCAGGTAGAGTGTTCCATTTAGCTAAGTCCTAGGGAAATAGCTAAATTTGTATGCACCCGTTCTAGTTGATGGTTGTATGAACTTAGAAGGATGATACAGCCTAGTGTTGGTATTGATCTGTTGGCGGAAGTATGGAGGCACGTCGATGGCTGCTAGGTTCTGCTTTCCTTTGTAGAAAAGGAAAACTCTAGCAGCCTCTCGACGCTCCTTCAGTGGCTCCCACTGTAGGTCTTGAAGAGCTTTGGTGACGCAGCCTGGTTCCCTTGAGTGACATTTGGTTACAAACCTGGCTGCTCTTCTCTGTACCTGTTCCAACATATCAATATCTTTTTGTCAGTATGGATCCCATGCCGAGCTGGCATACTCTAAATTAGGCCGGACTAGTGACTTATACGCCTGAGCCTTCACTTTTTCAGGGCATTGATGGAGGTTGCGCCTGCGGAATCCAAGCTCCTTATTGGCTTTGGATACAATAGTTTGAATATGTGTAGTCCAGCGTAAGTTATTTGTGATGTCAATACCTAGGTATGGGATGTGTGTTACCGACTTAAGGTTTTCCCCTAGCATGGTGTAATTGTGAATGATAGGGGATTTACCTTTGTGAATATTTAGCACATAGCATTTTGATGGATGGAATTTCATTTGCCATGTTGATGCCCAAGAGACCAGTTTATCAAGATTCTCCTGTAGTGTTAATGCATCTTGCTTGTTTTCAACTGTCATGAATAAAAGGCTGTCGTCAGCAAATAGCTTAAAGCGGAAATAATGTCAGGTATTCTAATCATCATTATATGTAGTTACAATACTACTGAATAAAATGCAATAAGTTTAAAATCTTGTTATGTGTTAGTTTTTGTATAATATTGAAAATAAAAATCATAAATTGACCCAGTGACCCAGTTGTCTGTTTGACGGGGCTCGCCATATTTCCCTCAGAGACCCGGATGTAGACCGGAAGTGTGACGTTTCTGCGACCTGAGTCGCCATCTTGAAAGCATTCACAACAAAGGAAAATGCCTATGTGTTGTGCGGTAAATTGTTCAAATATTTCCACTGATAGAGCTAGACTTGGGATAAGGACTTTAAAAGAAATGCCTGAACGACAGTACGACAGTCGGCTGGTGACGGTAGAATTAAAATCTGTCGACAGTTCAAACCAGCTGTCGTTGTCGTGGACCGAATCCCCGGGGAATAGAACACATTTAAAACAGTGTCACTTACTATAGTTTCTGAAAAGTTTCATGCACGGCTTTTAACAATCAAAGATTCCTACTTATTATTGTCTTGTTTGTCGTCCTATATCTATCCTGGGGTTGTGTTTTTTCTCCCCAATACGGGAAAACATTTTGAATAAAGAATTTTCTAATTCCGCCATCGAATAAGTAGGGTAATCTGCAGCAGTTTCGTTTTTGCTTCAACTCTTCACGCATGCCTAGTAGTTTGAAATAATTTACAAGTGCGCACATGTGTTTTTGGAATTAAGCCAATCAAATTATTCATTCTAATGCGCATGAACTAGATTCCGAATCAAGAGGAACTGGCGCAGATTGCCTCAAATGCTGAAATCGCTCTTCAAAAGCTCTTCAAAATAGATTGGTGAATAAAAATGAATAACAACTGAAGTTAGAGTGGTTTATTTAGTTCGATGTCAGGATATTTCAAGTAAGTATTGATTATATAGACGCTACAGTGATGATGGTTCTAGACACGCGGGGCAAGTTGTTTTAGCTGATTTTCTCCTCAAACGGCGTAGATTGAACACAATTTTACTTCCGGGTTTACCCACGACAGTTTGCTATCGGCAACAGAAATAACACTGTCGTTATCGACAATGGAATCTCACTGTCGTTTGGGCAGTTGCCATACCATACATATTCTCTCACAAGAAACCAAAGAAAACGGATTCAAGGCGAGCAATCCGGTCCCAAAAAGAGAACTGAACCAGGCCATGTGCCGGTTAGGTCGATGCCATTTTGAAAAAACTTTTTGAATTGTATCGTATTGTATCGTATCCAGGGCTGTCAACTTGGGACCACCTAATATGAGTGACTTACAAATGTTGGACACCGAAGTCCAAATCTGAACACTTTTGTCCAAATTTTGAACACCTTTGGTACGAAAATTTCCAATGAACATGCGTGACATATACGGGATTCGCGTGACAAATCCGAATTACCAGGTAAAATGCGTATTTGCGTGACATTTTGTGTCACGCAAAAAAAACTGGCGTGACTTCAAATTCTTCAGCAAATGCGTGACAAATACGCAAATTGCGGGACAGTTGACAGGCCTGCGTATCGTATGTCTTTAATAGCTTTATAACTTAATACCATATTTGTGAAATAAATATAACATACTAGGTCTACGAGCCTTTAAATTGTTTGTTGTCTACTGTAAATACAACAAAAATACACCTCCATGGTGATCCAAATGACGAACCTTGCGTCATCGATCGCGATCATTCATGACGGGGAATACATTATCAGTTCTGCCTTATATTTATAACAGAGTGTCAAAAATCCAATTAATATCTGCCATTCGTCATTTTATTAAATAAAAGATCCGAATATGTTTAATCTTCAAGCAAAACGATCGAGAGAATTGATTGTCAACATAAAATTAACGCATTTTCCTGTCATGTCGGTAACCAACGTTCACGAGTTGGTCAGTTTTTGGTTTTGATTGGCACTTTGGGAGTTAATTCTATGAATTGTAAGTATTGATGTGAACATGGTCATGTTTTTCTCGAACAGGTGATATCATATTATACAGGCCTGTCAACTTGGGAACACCTAACATGAGTGACTTGGAAATGTTGAACACCTCCCCTCAAAATGTGGACACCTTGGTCCAAATCTGAACACCTTTATCCAAATTTTGAACACCTTGGTTTAAATTTTATTACATCTTGCCAAATTTTGAACACCTCAAATTTTTCGCGCTCGCTACGCTCGCGTTTCTAACATCCATCAACGGGGGGGGGGGGGGGGGAGGTTGGTACGAAAAATTTCTAACGGAATGCGTGACATATACGTAATTCGCGTGATAAGTCCGAACGAATTGCGTACTTTTTTTTCCGGCGTTCGTATTTTTGCTGTGTAGACGATCTTTTTTAGACATTTTTCTACAGAAATATTTTTGCTTGACAATTACCAGGTAAAATGCGTATTTGCGTGACATTTTCTGTCACGCAAAAATAACTGGCGTGACTTCAAATTCTTCAGCAAATGCGTGACAAATACGCAAATTGCGGGACAGTTGACAGGCCTGTATTATAGTATGTCAATATGCCAAATACATCGTCAAAATCTTCAAATTGCTCCATTTTCTTGTTAAAAAGTTCGTAATATTTTTCAATGTGGCCGCCCCGCTACAATTGCGCATGCGCATTTTTCAGGCCAATCAAAATGCTGGAATTTGTCGAGTCGCAGTGACGCCGCTCATGAATATTCATAGGTAGGTTATGGCGACCTCCATAATCCAAGTGAAGATCCAATACCTCAAAATTAATTCCAATATATCTGCCGATGCATAAGAAGATCGTCGCTCATACCCGGGTCATGTTTTTGATTATAGACTTATTATTCTGATAAATCATAGTTTTTACTTGAGGTTATTATCCCTTTAAGACTGGCTGAGGATGATAGGTTATTGCCCATATCATTGATATAAACAAGGAAACAGAGTGGTCCAAGAACTGTTCCTTGAGGAACTCCTGATTTTACTGGAGTTTTCGAACTTGATTCACCATCGAGCACTACCTGTTGTGATCTTCCCACAAGCCAGGATCTGAACCAGTTCAAGTTATTATTGCGAATTCCATAATAGTCCATAAAATAAAAGTTCTTAAAACCTTTTCAATCCTCAGTCTAAATTTGGCCTTTTAAAGGTTCAAACGTCGACTTTGAATGGACCTCCATGCATATATCGTAAATAGGTTCACCAGAAAAGGTGTAAGACCAGACACCGGGGGGTTCACTCCAATATTCTTCTTAATACCTACATGTATGTGCCGCCCCAAAGACCCCCATTTTGAGCATTTTTTCCATGTATATTTCCTCTTAAGATTGAAGGTTTCCATGTTAAATTCCTCTGAGACTAATAAATGACTAAAAAATCAACTTTTCTAGTCATTTTTTCCAGGCTTCAGCAACTGATTTAACAAATTTAATATAATTTTCTGTAGAAAAACTGAATTTTGACTTAAAAAGAGTACTTCTCAGACAATTTTCCATATTTTTTTCCTCTCAGATTGGCCAAGTTCCATGTTTTATGCTCAAAACCAAAATTGCCTGTGCTGCACATACCTACCCAAATTATTTGAAGTGAACCCCCCGGGACCAGGCAATCACGTAAAATGTCTCAGAGTCACATTTATTGATGAATTTGATGCTAGCCTAAAATCGTTGATACATACAAATGAAGGACTTTTGAGTGGAAGTTTTTGCAAAAAGTTGTCCAAAAATATCTTGTCAGCTGATGGAAAATCCTAAAAAACAGCATTAAAATCTAATAGGCTATAGATTTTGAAGTGTATTCTGTGATGTCCCTGGGGGGCTGATGTCCCTGCATTCACGATAAACTGCGTTAAGATGGAGCAAGCCCAAAAATTCTAGAAAAAATTGTATACATAATTACCGGACCTCAGAGAACAAACTTCCGGCTTGTTTTTCATAACAAAAAAGTGCTCCAATGTGGAATCGAAACCCATGCAGCAGAAGTGCAAAGCGAACACCATTACCACTACACCAGAGTGGTTTTTACATAATTGTAAACATTTTCGGAACTCTATGCTGACTATACATGTGTGATATTTTTATTGGCATTCTTGGTTGAAAAACTTTTGAGACTGTTGTTTTTTTGTTTAGATTACGAAAACATCAATAAAAAACAAAATAAACACGGATTATAAATACAAAGGCTCTCTAGCCAAAATACTATGTTTACAGCTAAATAGCTTTAAATTTTAAGGCTCTTTAGCATTTTGGCTAAAGAGCCTTAAAAGTTAAGGTTCTCCAGACACTTCGAAATTTTTAAAGCCAAGTAAAATTACAGTATATCAAGTCAAGTCAAGCATACATGCAATCCCACCAATAAAGTATGTAAAAAATTTATAATATCATCCTGACTTACGTGTGAGATCCAGGAGACATATTATATGATGTATTGTACTGCTGACCCCCAGGTGCATCCCGCCATTGTGGTTTGGTTTTCTTGCCTTGTTTGTTTCTATGAGTGCAAGCTCTGCAAACATCTTCAGGCGCAAGCATACTGAAATATATAACAACAACAAGATCCAAACATACTGTACTAAAATAGATAACAACATCATCATCATCATCACTTCAAAATAAATAAAAATAACAACAAAAATAAAAATTGGGCGATAATAGATTATATTCAGACATTATCAATTATTAATCGCAATGCTGATCTAACAAAGTAAGATACATTTACTCACCATACTGTTCTTCCGCACATAGTTGATGTAGAATCTCAGAACGAATGCCTGAAAAGAGTTTTAAACGATGTTTTATAAGCAGAAAAATATTTTTGTTCAAACTTGTCCAAACCGGAAGTCTATCTAGGTGTCACTACGGTAATTCATTGAAAAATTGACAAAATTAAAGTTCTGGTTATGGGGTACATATCGCCATTTTCGAGCGAATTAGCCCAAACAATTACTTTATTTCTTCGTTCCCCCACATAACCCTCATCATGACACTTTATTTAACAAGGAGTTTGCGTCTCGATTATTAAATATCAGTACGCCAACATAAGGACTCATTTTTAGGTAAAATTCCTACCATAGGTTCTCGGCCGATATAAAGATGGCAGCACCAACAGAATTCGGTATTATCTTTTTCTCCAAGAGAATCGAACTCCCGTGCAGTGATATATCACTGCGGCGGGCAGGTGCCTCACCGTAAGCATGGTAACATCGTAATAAACAACTGCCGTGATTGGTTCTAGTCCCATGCTCAGGTCGCGTGATTGTAAAATTTAGACAATTTCATTGGTTCAATCGCGCGTATTAACTAATAAACAACACGTGCGGTAAACTTTTATCAACACAACTTTTACTCAGAATTCCTTCCGCGGGGATTTGCTCTTATATTTCATTGATTTTGGAATATTTTGACAAAATAATTATTGATGAACATAAAAGAACATATATTTTATAAGTTGTGTGAAAAACAAGTACATCTGTGACAAAAAGGGGGACTATCTTCCCCAAATTTTGGGGATTTCATAATCTGCCCGCCGCAGTGTCTATACCGAGACACTGCATAGGAGTTCGCAAGAGAATATTTATAAATAACATCACCATATGCCATCTTTATTTAAAATTATTCCTATCGGCCTTTGCCTATGATCCTACCTCACAGTAAAAAATTAACGAATAAAGTAAAGTAGTTTACAGGACTATATTCTTCCTATTTTTTCTAAAAATGGTTCATTTAGAAAGTTTTTGCCCTAAGCTTTACATCCATGGCTCTTAAACGGCCACTGTACATATACTTGGGGCAACAAGGACTGTCTAGAGAAATTCGAATATTTTTTCTGAGCTATCAGGTCAACATTTGGCTTAACATCTTCCTTGACATACATTTTTTCTTAAAATGTACGGATAAACTATCAATTTCAGCATGAAGAAGTGTAAATTCAGTCTAAAGCTTCTATAGAGGGAGTCCCACTTAGATTTTAAGATTCACCAGGTTTCAAGAGGAATCATCAGCTGAAATAACGTTCATCCAGGAGGTTTCTTTGGAGAAAATAAAAATGTATGTTAGTCTTGATGAAATATCCAAACTTGAATATATTTTGACACTGGTCCATGATTATTGAATGCCCCCATGCACTAATTGTTGCACCTTTAAACTACTATACGCACCATTGCATTTGACATGGCTTCTAAAGTATTAAAAGCACTACATGGAAAACCTATTTACCCGTTGTGACACTTCTAGATACATGTAGATACGGGTACCAAACGGTTTTGGTCTTGTTGGTGTTTAAAGGCTGACATTCCAAACCCGGCGATATTTCGACATATATTAACAAACTGACAACATGATAAATGGGGCCGGGGGGGGTGTACTTAATAAGTACACGCCTAACCATCGACAACGTACACTGACAAAACACGCCGTCGTACACTTTGGATGTACGGTGTCACTTTTAACCGATTTGAAGCAAAGAATACGTTATAAAATGTTTAATAATCCCCCAGTGTACTAATGTTGGTAATGCCTAGTGTATATGTTACTATCTTAGCTACTTATTCATGCAAATGAGTGAATAAAGATGTAACAAAACACGAGAAACTTTATTTTACTGTACATGTATACCCGGGCCTCAGTATATCAGTGTATATTTGGTGTAGGTTTTAAGAAAAAATGTCCGAGCAATGCATTAAGGAGTTCAAGTTTGATTTTGTATGTATTCGTTTGGGAAGCCTTAACTTTCTAATAACGTTAAAAGATTTTCACACGGTGCTCGATTTTTTGTCGTGGTTCATCTATCCATATAATAGGTCAGTTGAAAAATGTTGTTTTTTCACACATTTCCTTTGATCATTTTCTCGTCTGTCGTGTAAGAGTGTCGACTATTTTTATGAGAATATGTCTCTCTAAACTACACAATTTAGGACGCGTGGAGATTAATAACTGTTCAAGTATTTATTGCAATTCAAAAAAAATCAGAAATGTGCTTTGTCAACTCGAATGTACGTTGTCCCTGTGATTGAAATTCGTGAGATATACGTAAAATTAAACAATGTAATGATTTCATTTCAAAATTCATTAAGGTTTTTATAAGTAACAAGTGCTCTTTAACGAACATGTTCAAATATCCTTTGTACAGATGATTTTAAATATAAGGTAAATGTGATTTTTTTGCTTTTTCATTTCATGAAAGTATTATTGTGGTGGTGGTTAATTTGTGCTAATTGAGTGTTAGCTTCCAACCCAAACTCCCATTCAGTGTCTCGGAATAGAATCATGTTGAAGACTAGCACTGCAACGGAGTTTCCAGCCTCTTTGATTATCTTGCGTCTGTACCTTACGTTTTATTAGTTACATTTGATAGATATATCTATACTAGGTTATTGAACATAACTATTTAAAATCCCGACTATGATATATCTTGAAAGTGCTCAATAGTTTGAATAATTCAATCAAATTGAAGTAACCCATTAGGCATAGATTGCACTCAATCATAACAATGTCAACACAACTGTGTTCGTGTATCATACTTTGCGTACTGCAAACCCGTGTCTGTTAGATTCAACACATACAAATAAAACTCGTTTTATTATCCATACACATTTGTGGTGTTTTATTATTATCAAAGTTAATAGGTTCATTAATATAACAATGCTGTTTAGACTTTAAAAACTAAACATGTCGTCATCTAAATCCACGTGCATTTTACAGAATCAAACAAAATCGCTAAAATACAATCTAAAGACTGTTAGTTCATATCGAGAATTATAAAAATGTGATTGTTATTTTTGTCCATTAACATAGTTTCTGTCCCAGTCTTTGCATTTCCTGCATTTGTCTTCGTTATAACCGTAATCTATTTTTGGGCAATCATCGTAAACTTTGCACTTCCAGCACTTTGTTCCTGTACGCTGGCATATGTCTGCACAACACTCTTTAAGATCTTCAGGTTCTTCAACTACAAAGTTATGCAAATTAAAGATGTGCCACAAGAAATAATTCTTACATGTACAAACAAGACAGGGTAATTTATTGTGGTAAAATGTAATTTATAGACACATAAGTGCAGGGCAATGAAAGTATATGTACATACCGTCGACTATATAAACCACGTATTAATTTATTTATTGGCACGACCACTGGTAATCAGGGCGGAATAATCATTAATCTGTTTTGGATGAAAATGTGCCAAAATTATGTTATACAAATACACCACCTTGAGATTTGACACTATCCCATGACTTTTTCTCAAATCTCCCACCTTCGATCTCTTCACTATTTTCCTCTGCTAGCAGGGTGAAGAGACGCTTCAATAGACCCTCACCTGAAATACGAATTGTATTCATTCAACGCTATATATGATAAGGAACATGCACTTTGCAAAAGTGATATTTTGCTGAAATGATATTAAATAATCTTCAATAAAAAGTACGTAGTTGTTGTCAGAAGAAAGTAGCTCTCATATTTCCCTGGAATTGCTCGGAATCAGGGGATTCCTCTTAGCTTTCCCTACATGGTTCAACAAGCCTTATATGGATCTATAACATGACATAAAAATGGCAGACAATAGTTTTTTTTACTTTTGTAAGTTTGATTCCTAAATGGTCCTATAAACCCTTTTATGGATCTATTACATGAATACCGCGTGACCCGTTACCAACTCTGAACTTTGGGATATCCCCTCCTGAGTAGTTATTATGTTTTACGGTCATTCGCGATCGATTCCACATATAAATAAATACTTTAATGGTTCAATGAGGGTGCATTAAAACGTATTTACGTTCGGGAATGACACAGATCAGATTCGATTTATTAACCATGTTTCATAGAGTCGATTTTACAAAGGAGCTAGCGGTGCTTTAATCGCAATCGCAAAAACAATTTTTAGCGATTTATTTCTTTTCACAATGAGTAATTCGAGTGAACAATGTGGAAGCAGTCTTTTGTTCGATATGCTACTTTGTTCAACTTTTGTTTACGGTTTTGTGAGAGGGGAGAGGTCACTTTTAGGTTAATACATACGAAAAAACGTTTCACAACCATTCAAGTTTAGCAGTGAGATTTTTTTTATTTGGTCAAACACAATTCGTTTTATACACGCTGAATCAAAGTAGTATTTTGTTTTATTAGGGTTTTAATTTACCATACCTAGCGGGGCAAATAAAATCCGAAAACGACTGACATCGCATGAGTTTGCTCATTTTTTTGCGGTTGAGCGGCATTTAAGTAAATTTAAACACGAATGGTGTGAATTATCTCGTAGAAACGAGTTGCTCGACCTCATTCAATTTGATTATATATAAACCGATAGGGTAGGGGTAGGGTAGGGTAGGGTAGTCATATCTGCCTTAACTGCGCCAACACTAAATACATACATACATACCTCTACATGCCAACAAAGCATTCACGAAATTATTATTCAAATATTTTAGTTCGAAAACATTAAGATTTATTGATCTTTAACAGATTCCTTTGGAAACAATATTAAGAATCAAAAGTATTTTTTCTTATCAACTCACCGATCGTAGTTTAGCAATATTTTGATGTATTATGTAATTTTTTCAATTCACCTGGTTGTTTTATAATACAGTTTCTATGGCAATATACTTTAATCAATTACTTTAATCAATATTTTACCTGTAAAATACCCGTTTTACATAATAATTTATCTGTTCTATTGTTATTATCTATTATGTCATTAATTAAAATATCTTTTTGCTAGTTCCTCAAAATACGGTACATGATAAATCAAAATATTGCAGAACTAGATCATTTTTTGTTATAAAGACACAAAAACAACCACTATATTATGCCTGGGTCACGTTTGCTCCGATCCATCGGCCGGCGCCCGGCCGATTGAGTGTTTTGTTCAATATTGTATTCAATTTTGAACAAAACACTCAATCGGCTCGGTGCGTAGTGAAAATTGGAGCAAATGTAACCAAGGCATTACACATTTAAATATGCATTACATTTATACTCATAATTTTCAAAATTCACTCTTTGTGCAAAACTTTCTTTACAGAGTAGTTATATGAAATGAAAAAGTGATAAAAATACATACTTGTTGCAGTGGCTCCAACAGCAAAGATAACGAGAATCAAGAGAGCGAGTTTCATTTTGAAGCAGTGATGTTCGAGCAGAAGCAGTCGTGACGTGTAATGAACTTTTGAAAAGAAGCCATCTGTAGATATATAAATACCCCTGCATTTAAAATGTAATGGGTTTACATGTTCAACGAGTTCACGGCCAGTGTGCTTGTAAAGTATCTTTGTAATCGGTAGTGAATGCATTGGATAAAGTGAGGAACTGATTCAACGTTGACTGCTTTGGAGTCACAATTTCTCGATTTAAAGATTATACCTCTAAACCCAGTGGTTTGTTTCACTTTATTGCAATAATCGCGAACATGCACTGACTGAAACTTATTATGCATGTAACTTATTAACTTTACTCGCCAAACCAACAGTGCCGCCAAATGCCTGACATGCCTAGGTGATATAATGCCAAGGTCACATTTGCCCCGATTCACCGACCAGCGCCCGGCAGATTGAGAATTTTGCTCAAAATTCATGCCTTGGTCACATTTGCTGCGATTCATCGGCCGGCGCCCGGCCGATTGAGTATTTTGTTCACAATTGAATACATTTCTGAACAAAATACTCAATCCGGGCCGGGCGCCGTAGTGAAAATCGGAGCAAATGTGACCAAGGCATTATGGCCAAATCTCAGATGTGAGGTTAGATGTGAACTCCTGAAAACTTGTACATGATTTAAAAAACGTTTGGTCCATTTGAAGCAAGTTGAAATCAGTTTTGAACAAAATACTGCAATCGGCCGGGCCCGGATGGATCGGAGCAAATATGGCCTAGGTATAAGCTGTGATGCATCGAGTGGCGCCCGGTAGATTGAGTATTTTGTTCAAAGGTGTATTCAAATTTGAACAAATTACTCAATCGGTCGGGTGCCGTCCGATGAATCAGTGCTATAATTTATACATTTAGCTGCAGTATATTATGGTACGTTCACACCAACGGCGCTTTGATGGCGCTTTAAAGCGGATTGTAAAGCGGCACCAAAGCGTAACAAAGCTTGATTAAAGCGTCGGGATCGTAATAGGTCATAGAAAAGTTCGGAGTAAAGCGGGATATTCGGCAAGAGCGCCAAAAAATGTTAAACTGTTTAAAAATTTTGGGCGCTCTGTTACGAATTGATTGAAGCGCCGAGAGCTTAACAAACCGTAACAAAGCTCAACAAAGCTTGACTCAAAGCGTAGGAAAGCTTAACACAGCTTGGTTCAAAGCGGGGACCCCAGTCTATTCACGGTCTGTTACCACTTGACACGCTTCGTTAAGATGTCTCAAGATTTGCTACGATCTGGCATGAAGATCTGACACGAGGTCAGACGCTTTCATCAATATCTGACACTCTTTGTTACACTTTCCTGAGGGACTCTCAAGCTTTCCAACGAATTGAGACGCTTTAATCAAGGATTGAAACGCTTTGCTAGGCTTTGTTACGCTTGAAAGTTTTCACACGCTATATCACGCCGTGCGACAAACGTCATGTCTTCTTCAGATAGGTCATGCTCTGGTCCATCTGGAATTTCTGGATCTCGTTGTTCTGCCATCGTGTTCTCGAGTCAAAGATGCAATGGTTTTATGGATCTACTGCATCTTTATATAGTCATTGGATCAAAAGCGGCATGGAATCGGCGATCTCGACATTTTCCAATGCGTGACAGAGCTTAACAGAGCGTAACAATGCACAACAGAGTTTTGCAATCGTATCAGAGCCTGATTTAAAGCGTCATAATCGCATCAAAGCGTAATAATGCTTATCAAAGCTTTTCAAAGCGTGGTTTCAAGCGTAACAAAGCCTGATCAAAGCGGGATCAAAGCGTGAGGAACCTTTTAGAGCTATGTTAAGCTTTCCTACGCTTTGGATCAAGTTTTTCTGAGCTTTGTTACGGTTTGTTAAGCTTTGATACGCTCTCGGCGCTTAATCGATTCGTAACAGAGCGCCCAAAACTTTTTAAGAGTTTAAAATTTTTTGGCGCTCTTGCCGAATATCCCGTTTTACTCTGAGCTTTTCTACGACCTATTACGACCCCGACGCTTTAATCAAACTTTGTTACGCTTTGGTGCCGCTTTACAAGCCGCTTTAAAGCGCCATCAAAGCGCCGTTGGTCTGAAGAAAAATGACAAAAATGACGGCGCTTTGCTCGCCGATTTAAAGCGTGGCATTCGCCGTTGGTGTGAACGTACCTTTACAGATTTGGAGCTAAGCTTGTATTCGCGAATGCAACTAACGCCTACCGGCTCCCGGATTAACCTACTTTTTATGGGTACTCTTTTAAATATGAATAGTACCTGCCACTATTTCGTTCATACATATTTAAATGAATTGACCATTAAATTCACACCGGAATAGCCTGACAACCGTAAAGTCAGATACCGTTGTCACAAATGGCGGACATAACCGTCGCTTCAACTCTTTAATCACTTGGTCCTCGTTTCATGGGACTTTATTGTCGCTAATTCTGTTCATGATGTATCACATGAATTGCCAATTTCGATCAAATTGGGTCGTGAATCGCCATAATATAGCGTCTTCGATATCGTCAAATACAACGGAATCTGAATTTACCATGCCGTTGTCTTGTTTAATACCTCAAATTCAGATTCCGTTGCCATTGACTAAATATTGGACCTTGGGCCTTCGACCCTCGGTCCAATATTTCACTATATTGCCCTTAGAAATGACGTTATTGTCCTATTATATTATCAAGTTTAGAAATGTTTTGTATTATTATAAGTGGTTCACAACTGAAAAATCAAGAGAGCATAGACCAGAATGTATGTCTGGGAGTGCCATTTTTCACAGAAAATGCAATCACCATGACAAGTTCATCTGTAGGTTAAATGTTAGAGGCTGACCCTATCTGAGACAACAGCTGTTGCTGCATAATTTAAATCAAGTTTAATCAATAAAACTTCATAACTTCACAAATGTGGTAAAAAATGATAAAGAATTAAATTGATTATTTTATATCCCGCTGCAATTGACATAACATGGCAAAGTTCTTTAGCATTTTATTCAATCTAAATAAATAACAACTAAACAAAGCTAGTGTCTACTCCGGAAGTTTCGGACAGTCATATGTTGGATATTGGCTATTTTTGAGGATTTAAAAATGAATAGGTAATTCCTTCAGGGGTTTTAAAGATTTCCATTATGCGTGACCAAAATTTAGCTGAAAGCAATGGATCGCATGAGTTTTCCCTATGGGAAAATAACATGGGAAATATGTTTTCAACGTTATCTAAAAGGAATTACTTATTCCTTTAAAGGGGTTTAACTGTGTCTCAGGTGGTCAGTTAAATGTGATTTATTAAGAGGTGTGCAAAATATCATAAATATTTCCTTCTGACCCCTACTCTGTTTAAAGGTCTCCAGACCAAGTAAGAATCTATTCTTAATTATTTTATTCTTTTTACACGAAAAATAAAGACTTTAATTTATAAAAAGGGTTTTCACACTTCTTTGTTATATCTAACTGTCAACTTGTTCTCCTCACCGTACCTTAGTCTATGACGATTTCTCTGTTCGAAAGGCCCCTTTGAAGATCTCCTCACATCTCCTTCTACACTCTGTTAAGCATGATAAAAGGCAAGAAGTTTAGTTAGAAATAAAAGAGTTATCTCATGAATGGGACCCTTACGTAGCTCCTAAAAGGTAGAAGACACTAAATGGTGTAACACTATAAGCAGAATTTTGTCCACATAGAGCATGTGCACAATACTAAAGACATGTAAAATTGAACTGTCAAAAGAACTGAAATATACTTACCAGCTCGCCTCTTCCGGAAGTTATGATACGTTATGGTGTAACTACGGTAATTAATTTTAAAATATTGAAAAAATCACAAAATACAAGTTCTGAGGTATATATCGCCATTTTTAAGCGAATTAGCCCATACTATGACTATATATTCGCACCCCCATATACAGATATATATAAACTTCATCTTCACAATAAATTGAGCTTCTTTCAAATTTCCATTGTTTGAGATAAGTGCCATTTTCTTACAATTCAAGCTGTAAAAATAGTTGGAAAGTGCTTCCCAGTTGAGGTTAATGGCTTTTATACTTACATTAATGTATGGAGCACTTAAAATGTACTTAGAATCGTATAAATAGCTCTATTCTGTGAGATTTATTTTTGTTTTTATTTTTATATTTTTCTCACCTCATAATTGAAGAGCTCCGCTGTTGATTTACATTCAGTTACACGTATTTCCTTGACAATTCGCCATGATTGGAACAAATGATGGTTGGTTTATGTTTTATTCATTTAGTTTGTATTTGAATCTAGCTACTTAAACACAAAACATGTCTTCATGTTATGCTAAAGAGCAAAGATCGCGAATTCTAGGTGAAGCCAATTATTTTGCACAAGTCATAACCTGATTGCATCATAGTTACTTTGTACTAGTCACATCCTGATTGCATCAGCCAATTCACGTGATTTACAGTTTATACATGGTTTCAATATACATGTTATACTACTTCCGGCCGTCCGGGTAGGGTAGTGTTTTTTATACTTTAAAAACGAAGCCATTTCGATCAGTTTTTATAATCCTTGGTAGAACTGAAAGGTATTACAATACATATTTAAATTAATACACATGAGTGTATTTGATGAACTCTCAAAAAATAAAACCCACAATAATATCTTTTTTATTCACAATTTCATGTCATTGTTTCTAACAAGTCACCTCTTTCTCTCTTTTCTTTATTTTTGTCAACAGTCAAAATCGGAATTTAAAACTTGGTTTCTTTACAAGCTCTGCTTCTGTAAATACTAAATAACATGAAAAATGTTAAACCTTACATCCTACACTTATTTGATATGAAATAGGCGATCATTGATATCACTTTTGTGCTGTTAAGTGTGGATCTTTTAATTTTTTAGTCAAACTTGATCGCTGATCTCTGTCGATGTGACGTCACGCATTAAGTATGCACGCATGGGCAGTACAATACATAAGGCAATATGGCGTCTTAGGCCTATACATGAGCCAGAATGGAGGTCTGCAAGTTGAAATGAATATGTTTGTTTATGCATCAATCGATCACACATATAATCCAGACAATCTTTCAAATCATATACTTAACATTGTAATGGATTGATTTATTTTGTGAGCTAACGTTCCCTTTAATTTTCATTTGTGAAGCAATGATTTTACCTAAAATGAGTCCCTGTCTTTGCATAGTGATATTTAAAAATCGAGAAGCAAAACCTATGTTGAATATACTGTGTATTGATGAAGTTTATATATAGCCTAGGGGAACTCAAAAATATTGTTATTATATCGGCAAATTCGCTCGAAAATGGTTGTACACCCTAGAAATTGAATGTTGTTGATTTTTTCAATATTTTAAATTAATTACCGTAGTTACACCATAACGTATCATAACTTCCGGTAGAGGCGAGCTGGTGAGCAATGAACATGCGTGACACATACGGGATTCGCGTGACAAATCAGGACAAATTGCGTTCGGTTTTTTCCGGCGTTCGTATTTTTACCGTATCGTAAACATATTTCGAAAAAATTTCTACAGAAATATTTTTGCTTGACAATTACCAGGTAAAATGCGTATTTTGCGTGACATTATCTGTCACGCAAAAAAAAACTGGCGTGACTTCAAATTCTTCAGCAAATGCGTGACAAATACGCAAATTGCGGGACAGTTGACAGGCCTGCATTCATGAGATAACTCTTTTATTTCTAACTAAACTTCTTGCCTTTTATCATGCTTAACAGAGTGTAGTGTCACATTCTTGATCAGTGCATTTTATCAATCTTTCCCCTTGACTTCTCAAATGTGAACTGCCTATTGTCTTTCCATATGTAATTATTGGCTTATCATTGGCCCTTTTACAATGAACATAAACAATGTGAGTTGTAAATGGTTGAATTGATTATACCATATTTGGAATACAGTTAGATTTTTTGAACATCTATATGGAAACAATTTGTTTAGTAAATGTCGGAGTCCATGTCTGGCCATATAACAGACAGATGAGACTGTGCGTCCCATCCACCGAACGAAAATGTAAAATCGTAGCATTTGACAGATGGAGCTTAAATTACGATTTGATAATGTCATTTAGACTCAGACCTGTCATATTAATACTGCTGTTCAAATTCTGCTTTAAGTTTAAATACAAAGTCTGGTTAACTAGCATTGTTAACAGGATCTTAAGAGGTTCTGGACAAATCATTTGATTCTGGACTTGACATATTTTTTTTCCAACGAAATCACATCCAAGGGTTGAATTTTTATTGGATATTTAGAGAGCGAGTCCTGTATTGATTTCAATAAAAAGGTTAAAATAGAACGCTATTTGAGAGTTAATCTTATACTTTCATTACATTGATAAATTAAGGCAAATTCTGAAAAAATTTAAAGTGCATTTTTTATGAAATATTTAGATGAAACGGTCTTATTTAAATACAAATCATAACATGATGATATTTTTTCATAAAATATTTCTTCAAGAAATTCAATTGAAGGCTCAAGATAAAACGAGCTAATTTGGGTGAAAACCCTTACATGATGATGTGTTTTCATGACTTCTTTCATAAAATTCCATCAAGGGGTGAAAATAAAATGATCGAATTTAAGTGATTTAAGGATCACGAGGATAGGTTTTCTTGGATATTTTCTATGAAATCCCATCCAGTGGTCAAGGTAAAATTTTTATTTGGTATATTTGGTCACGTGTTCGAACCCATAGAACCATATAGGAACGTCATTTTGAATGTTACGTGATAAATCCATATAAGGCTTTTAGAACAATGTGGGGAAAGATGAGGGGAAACCCCTGACACCTGTTCACGATTTTATCCGAACGTTCATCGGATCATTTCGGTTTTTATGCACTTCATTATTTTACCGAAGTTTGCCGATTCGATTCGTCGTATTTCGGAATATTGGGGACAATTTTATACTCCATTGGGAGTATTTTTAATCTACTTCTTAATACGAAGATTCCCGAACCTTGTTCGGATTAATCCGGATTTTCTGACCTACTTCATCTACCGAGATTTAACGAGTTTACATTCGGCTCATTTCGGAATCCTGGTGACAATTTTATACTCCATTGGAGTATTTTTGATCTACTTCTCTGGATTTTTGATCTACTTCTTATGACGAAGATTCCCGAATCAGTTCGGATTAATCCGGATTTTCTGACCTACTTTATCTACCGAGATTTAACGAGTTAACATTCGTCTCATTTCGGAATCCTGGTGACAATTTTATACTCCATTGGAGTATTTTTGATCTACTTTTTCTGGATTTTGCCCTACTTATTATAAGTTGACAGCAAGCAAATCAAAAAGTTCGCCATGAACGGGTTTCGATCGACTAACCTAGAGAGTGGAAGCTAAACACGCTAGCCATGAGGCTAACGTTCACCTGTGTGAGAAGATAAAAGTATCATATATTTATACCGAGCGTCAATTTAGAATGATCTTCGCTTTTGACTCCACTTAGATACAACTCGTCAGTTGTATCCAGAATAGGTGAACGCCTATGGTGTTAGTGAATAACCAAATCCCAGGCGAGTGGTTCGTATCCCACCGTGATATGTTATTTTTGCTTTATTAATACGACAGAAAGGAGCAAGGTGTAGGTTTGAAAACAAGACGTACGTTTATTTCAATACAGTTTTAGAAACATTAACCTCTGACATTTCAGGCACTTGGAAAATTAAATCAAAACCCTGACATTTCCAGGTGTGTACGAACGCTGGAATTATTCTTAAAATATCCTTCAAACAAAAGGGGAAAATGCTATGCACAAACACTCTATTTAGTTTGTATTGTAATGCGTTGTATTACATTGCATTGCATTGTATTGTGTATTTATTTGAATGTCCGTTGACGGTAAAGAAGGCATTTAAAAGTTATTTGTGAAACTTAATAAACTTAATAAACAATACTTTAACAGTATTCTGTTATGGCAAAGTATATTTCATTTTTTCTCTTGTTCTCTACAATCTGCGTTGAGGACACTGAAGCATATGTCTGTATTTTGTTGGTGGGGAACAGCGTATCCTATCGTTCACGGAGCAAATTCAACTCTCGTTCACGAGTACCTTGTTTTTGGGCTCTTGTCCCAAAGATAACGATTGTATAAGGTTGCATAATCAGGATTATGAGCTTTCATGTTCTCATAGTTACATCTGTTGTAAAACGAATCTTGTCGCAACCTCTGCGAATCACGACAGCATAACATTTGAATCACGTTGACATCATTGCAAAATTAGGCTAAATATGCTAAGTCAAGACGTTAATTAGCCCACGAAAGTTCATGGGTAACTTGAGAACTACAAAATACAACCAAATACTTTTCGAACGTACAATAGCAATATTTCTCACCTAACGTCTTCATAGTTTTAGGAACGTATTTTAAACGCATGATAGCCAAATATATCAAGATACTATATCTGCCTAAATGAAGTTATCTAGTGTTTACAAAGTTTTGAAATATATTATATCCAGATCCATCAGAAATTAACTTATCCATTTACATTACTTTACTAGTTCTAGTATCTTGCATGACTCGTTCATAAGAATTCTTTAATTCTACCTCGTTCCCAATACGTCCTCAGACAGACAAGAAATTGAAGTCACACCCGTTTGTTTGCGTGGCATATTTATACGTATACGCACTTTCTCTGATTATTGTCAAACAAATACATTTCAGGAGAAGAACATAAAAAACAAATGCCTGAAACGAATGCCGAAACATAAATCCCAAGTGATTAAGTATAGAATGTTTTATTCTTTTACGATTTGATAAGAGACCGAGACTAAGAAATTAAATGCGACGAAATATTTTGACAACGTAATTTGTATACTGTTTTATTCTTAAAGTTCTATGCGATAAATTATTTTATCTGTTTCAAAATGTTTCATTTTATTTTGCCTATATAAAAGAGATTGAAGAAGATAAGATAAACTGTTCCGTAATATATATTGTGTTTTAATAACCTTTTTTTTAGAATCACAATGTAAAATAAATCTCCCGTTCCTGCCATTCTGGTAACGCCATGCAATGGATGCAATTCAAAGTGAGAGAGAGATCTATGAATAACAGAATGCGTCCATGCCATTAATTTGGCCAAATACATGGCATGAAACTGACGTAAGTTTAAGTAAGCTACGCCCCCCGCTTTCTCTGGTAAATTATGACTTTATTTTTCGGAGTAATGGGTTTCGGACAACTGGGTTTCGGAGAACTGGGGTGTACCCGATTACGCTTTGCACGCCGCTTTAAAATCCCGATGTCTCCAGAGGTAGTTTAATCCGGTAGCCGACAGGCGTTTCTTGCATTATTGAATACAAGCTAACCTTATATTCGCGAATGCAACTAACGCCTTCCGGCTACCTGATTAACCCAGTATAATATGACCAAGTCATTTAAATATGAATGGAATAGTGGCAGGTACTATTCGTATTGACATGAGTTTCCAGTAAAATAATAGGTTAATCCGGTAGCCGACAGGCGTTAGTTGCATTTGCGAATACAAGCTAAGACTATGATTTGGGAATGGAAGATTTCAGCTTCCGGATTAACCTACCATTCTATGGGCGACTCATTTAAATATGAAAAGAACCTGACAATATTCCATTAATATTTTAATGAATTGCCCATAAAATAGTAAAGTAGGTTTATCCGGTAGCCGACAGGCGTTAGCGGCATTCGCGAATACAAGCTCCTTTATTTCATAATTTGGGAAATATATATTTTCACAATATTGAAATAGATGGTGGTTCAAAGTGGAATACATATCATACAAGTGTCACAGATATTTTTAGTGCATATATGGTCTGTCTTTGCATGACTTTGTAGAACATATCAAAACCCTGGGATCCACAGGGTAACAGTAAGTACATTTCGTTAGATCTTCCGAAGTTCATGCTTCAAAGTTGTCAAAGTTGTAAAAGGGTAATCCTTTTTTGAGTACGAAAGCGTACTTTTTGTTCAATAGCCTTTCCCAGCTGCTAATCTTTTGAGTGCATCGTGCATTCAACGAATTGTATTCACTTATTAACCAATCAGTGCCAGGAACAAAATGCACGCTTACTTTTTGGGCTAAGTTTAGTGTTTTATGAAGCATGCTACATACAAATGTTACGCTTTTGCTCATTTACTTTGAGAACTATCTATAGGTACACATTACCAATTGACTCCTAGATTTGAGTGAACAAGTACCTCGTATTTTTCATTTTTCGATATTTTGAGATTTTTTGGCTGATGAGTAACTTGATATTTTATGTCTAAATATATTAAAGTAGTTAATAGTAATAGTTTTATTGTACACCATAAACTGTTAACGTTTTAGAATTGGGACACAATATATGATTTGATAATAGAACAATACATGTATATGTCTTACTCTAAACTCGGTGGTTTGTTTGTTAGTATGTTTTCTTAACAGCTCAATAACTGTTGTATTAATAAGGCGTTATACTATGAAAAAAAGATTGAACGATGTAGGCATAGGCAGAGGGAGTATCACACTACCCTACCACGTGAACACATTTAAAAAGAATACAGGGTACAGTTAAGTTGCAAATAGAGCGGGTATTCTTTGTCCTTTTCCATAGGACTTTTCTGGTGATAGTGCGTTGCAAACTGCTCGATGAATCTATACAATGTAAAATCTAGTATTCCTCCAGAACTATGGAAATAAACAAAGGTCCTCCATTTGCAACTTCACTGTAGCCTGTATTCCTTTTAAAGAAATACGGGCTACAGTATTGGGGTATAGTAGTTTGATTTTTCAATATATCACTAATCTAGCTTCTTTCCTTGAAAAAACATGAGTTTTGATGTACGTATATCAAACATGGGCCACTGCACTATATTGAACCAGGGTGCCGGTGTTACATAATGTGATTTTATGGGCCATCATACAACCACCTCTTGCCCACTTTATTCATGTTTTGGATTACAGTTTATACACAATGCATAAACAGCATGAAACAATCATTTCTACTTGTGGATTAGATTTGTATACATCTCTTTGTGAACTGAGTGTTATGTTCAATATGTGAAAATATCATGGACTTAAATTGTACTTATATTTATAACCTGACCACATTTGCATATGTTCAACAACTGACTGAGTGATCGAGTTCATCAAACAATGTTCGTAATAGAGGTCATGA